GTCAGAATTACCAATAGCGTAGTCTTTACCCAATGTGTTAAATTGCCTTTTTCAGATTCTCCTTCATGTTGGCCATTTTATGTGCCATCAGTAAATTTACTTTCTAAGTTTATCTTATATGCTGTGTGTTTAAATACTTATCTGTACAGCAGAATTCTCAATTTTGGGACTCCATGTGACTTAAAATAATAAGTAAGATTGTGTAGCCCATCCTCCTATGAATAAGAAAATGATTTTATTGAGATTAGGGTTGAACAATAGTAAATAAGTGACTTTTTAAAATTAAAACTTAATCTATGTGTCAAATAAAATGAGATAATCTTATAACTTTTTAAAATAAAAAGGATAAAAATACTTAACTGCACTAACACATACATTTCTACAGAGATCCCAAAGACTGTGGATATACATGGTGTCCCAAAAGTATTTAATGTTTTAAAACTGCAGTAGGACTTTTAGGCAGAATGCTGGCAGAAACACCAGAAGCGCACATCTATTTCTGAAAGAAGGCAAGCCCAGCTGTCAGTGATCATTGACAATGATCACTGTAGTGAGATGGGCGGCTATATAAATCGATCTAATAAATAAATAAATAAATAAATAAATAAATAAATAAATAAATAAATAAATAAATAAATAAATAAATAAATAAATAAATAAATAAATAAATAAATAAATAAATAAATAAATAAATAAATAAATAAATAAATAAATAAATAAATAAATAAATAAATAAATAAATAAATAAATAAATAAATAAATAAATAAATAAATAAATAAATAAATAAATTGCCAATATCTGATAATAGTTTGTCACATGATCTATAGATGTCAGTTACACTCTGCAGAAATTGGACTTGGCCATTTTAAATGCATTAAATTGAAGTAGAATTATGTATCATTGTGCAAGGATTAGGAAATATTTTCCTCTTAATATCTGAATTTCTTTCTTGCAGAACAACATTGAAAGAGCATTTGAGAATTCATAGTGGAGAGAAGCCACACCTATGTAGCATTTGTGGGCAGAGTTTTCGTCATGGAAGCTCCTACAGGTAACACATTCTATACTGTTATGCCGCAATCAGTCATGCTCTGAAATTACTTCATTTTACTGAAGTTATTTATAGCCAGTGTCTCATCTAAGACAGTAGCTACTATGAATTAAAACATAATACAAATTACTAAAATAGAGAAATCCCTATGGAATCTGTTTTTAGATTTTAGCAAAAATGGCCTATTGATAAGCAATCCTTAGCAAATTTTGCTCAACTGAATTGTCTTATTTCAAGATAATAGGTACAAGATTATAATCTGGAGCTAGATTTCATGACCCATTTTCTCCAAAATTCAAATATATTTAGTCTTAATAGTGTGCTTCATGTGCAGTGTATCAAACAACACTAAAAAAAACAGTAGGGGCAAATCTACCAGGAAATTGTACAGAAACTATCTCACAGCAGATGGTCTCATTGTTGAATTATACTTCTAATTGAGATTTTCAAATCTGAGTATCATGGTATATTAAGCATGCAGATGCTAATCTTGTATTCCTGTTAATATTGGCTTCATCTGCGAGTCCACCATGATGATAAGAGATATGAATGTGAAGAATGTGGAAAAACATTTATTCGCCATGACCATCTCACAAAACACAAAAAGATACATTCAGGTAAGGAGTGGCATTGATATTACCTTTCTCAATCCAAGAACCCATGAACATAGCGGGAACATAGAAAAGAGGATAATTTAATGTCTGTTTCCACCATGACTGGTCAGAGATGGAGAGGATGTATGCCAACATATGTGGCTAGACAATTATATGCAGACCAGCTATTCCATGAATGAAAAGGCTTCTACTCATGGAAAACACTGAGGTATACTAGAATGTAACTATTTTCTGATGGAAGGACTGCACATTTTAAAATTATTTTTTCAGCAGCAAAGAGTCACAGAGTGTAGAGCAGTAATGAAATTAAATTAGTGGTGGGACCAGGACATGATATTCCTAATCCCATCGCTCCCCCAACACCTTTGGGATAATAAACTTAATTTTAAAAGACATGTTAAGCCTATCAGCAGTTTAACACATCATTTGATAAATGCTACTTCTTTTCATAGTCTTGGTGATACTTACTGATCATCTGACATACTATTATCACATACTGATGAGCCATGGACACTAACCCCTAATGTATTTATTTGATTTATATCCTGCCTTTATTTTGTACAGCTCAAGGTGGCCTACATAATACTCCCTCCTCCTATTTTCCCCACAACAACCCTATGAGGTGGGTTGGGTTGAGAGAGAGTGACTGGCCCAAAATCAGAAACATTTGAGTGCCTCTAGTATTCTTTTGGATGATTCCTGAAACTTTTAATAACATTAATTCAGAATATATTGCTGGTTCGCCTTAGGAGAGAAGGCCCATCAGTGTGAGGAATGTGGAAAATGCTTTGGCCGAAGAGATCACCTCACTGTACATTATAAAAGTGTTCATCTAGGAGAAAAAGTGTGGCAAAAGTAAGTTTAATTTAATATTGAAATATATTATTGTGAGGATATGTTAGATTATTATACACCATGTGGAATGATTCAAATACAACCATTTTGATCTGTTAAATCAGGGCTTAATTGAACCAAAAATTAGTCTTAGGTGAACACATTCCTTTTGTCCCTTATATACTAATGCTGAAGAAAGATACTATGGTATGATAAGATACAATTTTCCATTATTATAACAAGTATGAAAATGTGATTTAAATATCACATATAAAGCAAAATATTCATACCTACTGATGAGGGGTTTCAGATCAGGGAAACTTCATGGACGAAAAGGCTTCAATAATCCATGACACCAGTTACTTGATATCCAAAACAGTGAGAAGCAAACATAGAAGATATTAATTATGGATCTAAGTGCCTTATCTGATTTGATTTTATTTCTGTGTTGTTGTTTTTTTGCTTGAGATGTATGAAGTTTTCTCCTAAATTGGCAAGTGCGTGTGTATCACATAGCTGAAAGGGAACATGAGACTGAAAACAGCAAGGCCAAAAGAAAATAAGATATAGAAAGTGCACTTCAATATTTCATTAACAATAGCTCACATTCTTCTCCAACCTGGGAACCATTCTGATAGGTGGCCTTCAAATCATAGAATAGCTGGATTTTGCAGTAATCATTTACCCTTGTACGAAGAATATATGAATGTTTACAGTACAATCCTATATATGACTATAAGAATGCAAGACCTATCAGAGTGGTTTATTCCTAGGCAGTATTATATAGAATTGCAGCATCAGTGAGTTTGTTTTTTTTAAATGTCCCATTTACAGGAGATAGAACCAGTGGTATGCTAGTAAATGTTTAAGAACTGGTTCTGCCAGCTCCATTGCTGCGGCCATGCGGCTAGCCATGGAACATCTGGTCACCGTGCTAGGTTTCGTGGCTCAGCTCTGCCCTCAACCGGTTCACAAATTGCCCAAAATTTAACAATTGGCTGTTGTGATTCCAGCACACCACTGGATAAAACTGAATTTCTTGATGGCTTATACATTTATTTGTATTACCACTTCTTGTGAAGAGAATGAAATTGTTCACAAACAACAACTCAATGCTCATATATTTCTACAGAAGCAGTAAAAAAAGAGATTAAGTCTGTAATAGTGACTTAGTTCATTAAGCCTGAAAACATTCCTTGATAGAAAGTTTATCTTCTAATATATTCTGCTTATTTGTTTTTCTTTGAAGGTACAAAGCAACATTTCATCAATGTGAAGTCTGCAAGAAAGTTTTTAAGGGGAAATCAAGTTTGGAAATGCATTTTAGGACACATTCAGGTAAACAATCAGAATAGTCTTAAAACTCAGTTGGAATCTCTGATATTTTCAAAATCCTGCTTGCAGCAAACAGACAAGACAGATATATGAACGGGGAGAATGCTTGCATTTCTCTGTCTTTCTGTTTCCCTCCTGTTTTGAGCAGTGAAAATATTTAATCCAGGACACTTTGAGCACTGATCTTAATTCTCACAGTTTAGTGGTTTGCTGGATGGGTTTCTATCCCTTGGATTCTTAATCTGTCCCAATTCCCTTTCCAGGTTCATGCTATATTCCATGCTGTTGAGCTTTCTGAGGTTCCCCAGTTAACTATTAATACACTGACTTTATGTATTATTTTCCCCCATTCCAATGCTTTTCTGTAAGAATGTTGTCAAAAATATTTTAAAATGATTCCTTTGGCCAATCTTTCTGCAAGTTGAGTGGCTAAAAGTATTCAGTATGGATTTCCACCCCCTCTGTCCTTGTGGCCTGGGATGTAAAGAAAACAATAAGCTATTTTGAATTTCCATTTATAACTCTAATGCAAGCTTCCAAAACACTAACAAAAGTAATGAACTGTGTGTGATTGAGGTGTGAATTTTAAAGAGCTGTTTTGCTTTGATGAGCATTTGGAGAAAAAAAATCCTCTTAAAGCAAAACTACAAAATTAAGACCTCACTTTGCACCCTCCCCAATGGCCTGCAATGCTTTCTGCTAAATGAAGGAGCTCTGCACATTTTTGATGCAAGGCTGCCAGTCAAAGTGAATCAGCTCCTCTAAATGTTTTGCAAGTTACAGAGTATCACCCCATGGTGGCGTATACCAGCTTTGTATATCCCTATGCTGTGTTCTAACTTGACACAAAGTTTGGTGTAAGTCGAAGGTTTTCTGTATCCTTAAAAGTAATGATGTATTTTTAAAAAAGAAATGATAGTAAACTTTAAAATGACTTGTGTGTTTTTTCTCAGGCTTGTGTCAAGTGCTCTATAATCTGTAGAAATTACTTGACAAAATATTTTGGTATGCAACAAGGATAAAAAACAACAGATATTGATATGAGAGGCAGCACGTTTATTCCATTAATATTGGCTTTTCAATACAGGTGAGAAACCGTACAGATGCCAAATTTGTAACCAGTCCTTCAGGATTAAGAAGACATTAACTAAACACATGGTTATTCATTCAGATGCTCGCCCTTTCAACTGTCAGTACTGCAATGCAACATTTAAACGAAAGGATAAACTAAAATACCATACTGATCATGTACACGGAGGAAAATCTGTAGAAGAATTGCAAAACCCACTGTCAGATGAAAAAAATATGTCATTGCCAGCTCAGTACGCACCAGATGATAAGGCTTTTCAAGGTGATTCTAAACCATTTGTGGATCAGACCACAACTTATCAAGTGGACACCAAGACAATGCTACAGAATGTACCATCAGATACATGTGTGCCAGTGACACTGATATCTGTTCGAATGCGTGAAACTCAGTCTGATCTTGTACAACAGCCTCCTGTTACATCTTCATCTCACTCAATTCTTCCTTCACAGCCCCCTCCAACAGACTACCAGCAAACGACAGATTTGGAATTTCTTGAAAAATATACTCTTACTCCACAGCCAGCAAATATAGTTCATCCAGTCAAACCTGAACAAATATTGGATCCTAGAGAACAAACTTATCTTGGGACATTACTGGGTCTTGATACAGCTCCTGTACAGAACATTTCAAATAATGAACATTAATGATCATGTCTATGGAGTGTGATATTTCAATAGTCTTAATACTTCTTTTCAAACAGTGAGCTGTGAGGCATCTTAAAGGCTAACATTATTGTATGAGCTGCTGACCATTTCATCAAATGAATGGAGTATTATATTGAAACAGGAATATATATACTATATATATATATAGTCAGAATTATGGGGGCAGAATATGCAATAGAAAACTCAGAGGGAAATGAAATACAGAGAATATAGATTGTGACAAGTGTCTTCTTGTCACTGATCCTAGCATTCTTCTGTATGACAGAAGACAAAAATTACTAGATACGTGAAAGTAATCATATTAGCTGTATTTAGTTAGCTAATTTAGATTTAAAAATCATTTAAATAAAATTTAGCTCAATTTTTGTTTAATCATTAAATAGAGACCAGGTTCCATTATCACACTCTTAAAGCAGCTACATCTTTATTCAGACTTGCTCAGGAGCCTGAAAAAAGAACAGCTGCTTTAATGAACAGTAGAAAGGTACAGGTAATCTTTGGGTTAAGAACCCATAGATTACAGACAACCCATAGTTAAGAATGGAGCCTACTGTAGCAAAATTTGAGTTAAATACACAATCGTTCAAGTTAATTACATAATACTATTACTGGTATATTCCAGCTTACATACAAATTTGACGTAAGGACAGACCTTGGGAATGCAACTCATTAAACTGGGGACTACCTGTACTGTGCTTACGTGAGATCCAAAACTCTTATTCCAAATCATTTTTAAAGCATGCACAGGCATAGTAGTAATAACTACTTGTACTTTCTCTTATGCATTTCTTTCTGACATCAGTATTTGCAGTATTTCTGACATCAGTATTCTGCTGTTCTAGAGAGATAGAAAGTTAATATTGCAGGAAGAGAGCTGCAGTGCACGAAAATTATAACAGTTGGTCTTTATGGTGTCTGTTTTTGCTCCAACAAACTAATACAGCTGTTCCACTGAAAATTCTTTTAACTATTGAAAAGTTAATGTATCTGTATTTTCTTTGACTTCTTCAGTTTTTTTAAAGCTGTTGAGCATGAAAAATTATTGTTGCCTTTTTAATGCAGTGGTTTAGCTTTCAAAATCATGTGTTTTTTAAAAAATTGTAATGTTTTTTAAAATAGATTCTTGAAGGGTACAAGAGTAAAAACAATACACATTTAATCAATTATGGATTGATGTTCCCCCCATATGTTTTCATTGTACACATATCTCCTTTCACATATGAAAATGTTATAAAAAGCTTTATGGTTAAAACCACATAAACCTTTCTTTAGATTGTGGATTAATTCAATCTCAATCAAATGTCATAATTTTAAAACCATTTGTATTTCAATATAAATTAAAAGAAATCAAGGTAGCAATCTTGCTTCCTTAAGTTAATGTCTTTGGTATCAAAAGTAGTAATTGCTGTTAGTAATCTAAAACACATTCAGAAGACAACTGTGTTAAGCATGTCTTTCTTTGTTGCTTCCTTAATCTAGTTTTTTTTTTTGGAGAGGCTTTGAAAAAAATGGAAAATTATCCTTAAATATAATTAGTTGTATGTGAAACCTGCATAAATGCAAAGGCTCATGGAACTGAAGTGCTAATTTCAATTGCTTTGATTATAGAAAGTAAAAGGAGCTGTGTTGACCATGAGGAAAAAAAATCCATGTAATTAAAAGCTAATTAAAAACAAGATAGAAACAAAATAGTACTGGCTAGTGCTTAAACCAGGTCTGTACAGATTAGAGTGTTTTATCAATTCCAGCCTAATACTAACTACATAGGAGGATCTAATTTGAAGATTATTTCCATACTCTGTTAAAAGTTGTAATCTGCAAGACATAGCTGAAATATAATTGATAAACACTCTAACTTTGATAACAGTTCTTAGAGACTTAAAAGTGTACACCTGCTACTTTTATTATACCACTAGTTTAGGAATCTAATCTTAACCAGAGTAAACATATATCACATAATCTTTTACATAACTATATAATTAGTCATGTTAGTTTACCTTTTAAAATATAGTAGCAAGGTTTATCCAAAGCCAAGTAATCATCGGAGCTAAACAGGAAAGATCTTCCTTTTCACCTCAAGTCAAAGCTCCAAACTGCCACACTTCTACTGTTACCTAGAGAATCCTAAGGCAAGATAAAATCTTAGTTACAGTAGAATTTCAGTTGTCCCACAGCAAATCATCACACATTTTTCATTCTTCCTTCATAAAAACCAGGATATGACCATATATTTCGTCAAAAAAGTGCTTAAACTTGGACAAATCACAAATAAAAAAAAAAAATCTTACGGTGCTTTGTCATCACAACATAGG